CTCCAAGCCAAGCCATTCATCACAGACAATGACATGTATGACTTCACTCTTGCTGTTGCTGTGGTGGCGCGTGGTCCTGTGCACAGAGCTCAGGTCATGGAATCAGTTGAAGTTAAGCAACTACGAGCTCGGACAATCCTTGGATTGGTGACCGTGTTTGGCAGCCTGACTCCTGAGAGTTTCTAGGACTTCAGTCCTGCCCCACAACGAAGCACATGTGGGCTCACCTTAGGCAAGTGAGTTTGTTCAAATTGCCTCTGTTCACCCAGCAGAAAATGGGTACCCGGTTGGATAAAGTCATGTGACTATAACCTTCTAGCGCCTAACAGGCAGCTTGGGTTATCCGGGGTAATAAGAATCAGATTCTGATTAAGTGCCCGGGCAATCACTTGGTGTTTGGAAACGTGCGCTGTAGAAGATGACTTATTATTAATATTATTATTAACAGTAATAAAGACTAATAAATACAGATGTAGAGAGTCAGAAAACTCAACATTGGGATACTACTTCTACAATCAGATAGTCATACATGAATGCAAGTGACAACACATAACAAAATAATGCAAATCTGGGGCAGTGTTTCAGGTAATTAGCTAAGCGAGTTCCAATGTTTGTTTATGAACTGTTGTAATTGTTCAATGACTTGTATAAATTGCCGCAAACTTTTATCAAAGTTTATTGCTCACACAGAGAACAATTTCGATGTTTTCAATCTTGTCTACTTTTCAATTTTTAAAATATAAATTTATGTGTTAGCCTAAATTAATATGGCTCTTAAACTTCAATGTAGCTCCTTAAAGTTTTAATGTCATCTTGAAAGGTATTGCTATCAGAAAAGTGGCTCAGAAACAAAACTAAACATTGAGTCCTATGTTCATCCTTGAGACTTCTTGCTCACAACCATTAGCATTTTTAACTTAGTCATGACATGAATCAGACATGAATATACAAAAACAGAAAATATACTTCAAACAAGAACTGATAGGGAAAAGAGTTATTGAAATTTAATAGCTTTGCACTTACACTTAATTGTCATAAATTTCAATATTTGAGCTACTTTCTAAGATTCATTTGCATTTAATTGCTTTAAGGCTATTCACTTAATGTCCTTTCTGACCTTAAAGACCTTTTCTGTCTCAGCTGACGATTTGGACACATACATGCCCCTCTTGCTTCTAACATGGTGAAACCATAGGTTAATGCTCGCAGAACAACCCATGGTGACTGTTATAAACGGCTACTACTGATCTTCAGTGGGTACTCAAATTTTCTGATTCCCACCCTTTTTTTAGAATGTGGCTTTTTTCTATGTCAGTGATTTAAAAATGTTTAAAAAGACAACTATAGCCATTTGTTTGTACTTCAGACATAAACAGACAAAATATGTGAAGTTTTAAGTTACTTTATTATTTGACTTATACAATGACCAAATTGAAATACAAACATGTTGGAATGAATGCTATTTTACACTGGTTCTGTCAGCTGCAGCATAGTTTCATTTCATCAGATTGTTTATTGAAAATTAACCATGGAAACTTAATTTTCCATGCATCCTGAGTTTTTTTCTAAAGTCTGATCTCATCATGTTTCTTCGCCAGTGCGTGAGTGTGGTAAGCAAATCTGTCAATATCTATCAATAGCAACGTCCGATTCAAAACAATTTCCAATAAGTTCATCAATAATTTCTTTTGCAATGACAGAATTTTTTTTTAAATGATTGATTTCGAACAGTGACAAATGCCGAAATCTTACTTTGAGATGATGTTTTAGAAGACGAATGCACATGCAGTTTCTGTGGGGCCATCTCTGTTCATAAACAATGTATGTCTTGACTTTCTAACAAGACAAGCGATTTCATTGGATGATATTTATAGAAGAACTAATCAGCTGTGTTTTGCGCAATTGTTTCTTTTGTAGTTCATAAAGTGTGCAGTTACATAGTGAAATTCATTCAATAATCTACCCGATGCACTCGTAACATTTGATAGTTAGCTAAGCTCTGTTACGCATGTGTTTTTTACTTGTAAATCGGCGTAAGCAAGTCAACAACTAACCAAAGTGATTCTGTAACTTCCTTTGCATATTTGGGACACTACAGATATATTTTAGTGCATATTTGGAAATTTCAGTGCATATTTTACGTGCAGATACGCAGCTTATCTAGACTTCTGAAGCTGGTTTACTCCTATTGTGCATTTTGTCCTCACCAAGGGCTGAAAATAAGCCATAATCTGTAAATCTTTGATAAGATTTACAAATAACATTCTTACATTTAATTGAACATTGTGTCTGAGAGGTGGCGATGTCGTCACAGGTGCTTCCATTTGCTTTACAGAGTTGCTTCCCTTGGGTATGCCAGATATCTATGATCTTGTGGGTGAATATCTGACACCTGCCAGGCTTTGAACATATTCTTGTTTGACAGCCAAAATAGACCTGCAGTGGCCATGGAGTGTCATCATGCTCATGCTTTCAACCCCTGGTTTGTGTTATCCTGATGGGGCAGTGGGGTAGCCTAGTGGTTAAAGCGTTGCCTCGTCACGCCGAGGACCCGGGTTCGAATCCCCACATGGGTACAATGTGTGAAGCCCATTTCTGGTGTCCCCCGCCGTGATGTTGCTGGAATATTGCTAAAAGCGACGTAAAACCAAAACTCATTCAGTCAGTGTTATCCTGATTTTTCATGGGAACCAATAACTCACTAACACTTACTGTCCTGAAGAGAGGCGGTGGGGTAGTCTAGTGGTTAAAGCGTCCACTTTAGTCCACGCTGAAGACCTGGGTTCAATCCCCGAAGTGGGTACAATGTGTGAAGTCCATTTCTTGTGTCCCTGGCCGTGATGTTGCTGGAATATTGCTAAATGCGGCGTAAAACTCACTCAACACTCAAACTGTTCTGAACAGGGTTGGTGGGGTAGTCTAGTGGTTAAAGCGTTCACTCGTCATGGGAACACCAAGGTTCAATTCCCACATGGGTACAATGCGTGAAGCCCATTTCTGGTGTCACCGGCCGTGATGTTGCTGGAATATTGCTAATTGCTGTGTAAAACTCACTCAACACTCACACTGTGCTGAAAAAGGGTCAGTTAATCATATCACTCACACTCTCTGACAAGTTCATGGGTGCTTAAGGTTTTAAATTAATTTAAAATGCATTGATACAGAAAACTTAAATTGTTTCTGAGTGATTGATGGCAACATTTTATTAAGATTCTGTTTCTTTCATAAGAATAATATATTAGTAAGCACTTCTGATATGCATGAATCAATCATTCTTTTGGCGCAGTGTATGCGCTTGTTTTGATTAAGTTAAAATGCATTCATCTTCATCCTACGTAATTTTTGTGTCGAAGTGACACAAATGACACAAAGAGGAATTTCAATATGATAGGCCTTTAATTCCATGGGGCTGAACTGTTACTTTGAAGAAAAAGGAACATTAGTGTACCCTGTGTTTGCATCCTGTTTTAGAGGAAATGCACGGAGAAATTCTTATACAGGTTTTCACAGAGGGTTTTCTTGACTCGGTACATACTGTTTCAAGTATCATTCCCTCCCTGAATTCATCACAGCAAGATATGTTAAAAGACATAGACAGACAGACACAAATAGACAAGTATGTAGATAGACATATCATGGAATTAAGAAATTAACATTTTTGACTTCACATACTAGTAAGTCATTGATAGGGATTAGGTGCCCAAGCTTGCTGAATTACTTGACATATGTCATCGTTTCTCAATTGTGTATGATGTCAATCACTAGATTGTCTGGTCCAGGCTTAATTATTTACAGACCACTGTCATATAGCTGGAATATTGCTGACTTCGACATTAAACAACGATTTCAGATTGTAACCAACATTATTTATGATTTAGCACAACTTTAAGTGTTTTGACAGATGAAGTTTTTAGGTTCGGTCAGCATACCCGCTGACTCATTAGAGCTCCAGATTTTAGCTTCTCTTTGAGGTGACACTGCTTTGCATATGCCACGATTAATTATTATGCATATCATTCATATATACATTGTCTTATAGTGCAAGTTTGCACTACCTGTCTGACTTTCACATGGGGCGGTAGGGTAGCTGAAAGGTGAAAGCGTTCGCTTGTCTCATCAAAGGCCAGGATTCAATGTGTCAAGCGCATTTCCGGTGCCCTGCACCATGATGATGCTTGAATATTGCTAAAAGCAGCGAGGAGTCGACTCACTCACTCACTCACTGACTGACTTCATATATCAAGAGGGGCCGTGGGCTAGCCTTATGGTTAAAGCGTTGGCTCGTCACGCCGAAGACCCGGGTTCGAATCCCCACATGGGTATAATGTGTGAAGCCCATTCTGGTGTTCCCCGCTGTGATGTTGCTGGAATATTGCTTAAAGCAGTAAAACCAAACTCAGTCAGTCAGTCATATATCAAGATGTTTTTAAGATGCAACTATAAATCCCTCTCTATCTCCAGCTACTTCTGTAAAGTATGATATCAATAAGTTTTGTTTAGTTTTTTGATTGTGGGTCTTTATGAAAGTCTGTTACTACCAAACATATTTGCACTTTGGTGTATCATATGGGCACTCCACATAAAAATGGATTGATTTTAAAAAACTCCACTTCTCATGGTTATCTTAAAAACATAAATCACATGTATTTCACACCTGCAAGAGGGTAATATTAATTTGAGACATTCGTGAATAAAAGTGACAAAAGCTTTTCCATATTCATAATACATCTCTGTTAAACCCAGTTTCTGACATATGTTTTTCATGCTGCAAATTTTGTAAGTAAAAATGGTGTATTTCACTGGTATCAACTTTTAAAATGCCATTATTAATATACAACTCATATGATTATGTCAGTTGTATAACAATGATTTTTTCTGCGGTCTGAGCACATGGGATATAGTGACATGTCAGACCAGACCTAATAGGTTCCTCTGTGTACACTTAGTCTAGTGTTATTTATTGATGCTGTGGTTCAGTATTCCTCCCATGTCTATTACAGGTTCTCCAGTCGGCCAAGGAACAGATCAAGTGGTCATTGTTGAAGTGATGGGGGAAGACGAGGAAGGAATCACATCACATCCATCGGTCTACTTCCTGGTCCATGTATCATGTAACATCCGTCACCTACTGTCATCCTTCACATCTTGTCACATGTGCAGTGATGTTACAATTGATGATGTGCCACGTGGGCCATTTGTTTCATGGTTCCTTCAATGAATTAGGCTGCTGTCTGTCTAGGAGAACTCTGACATTGCATAAATCCACTCAGTTCATGGTTAATGCAATTTTTGTATATGACAATATTGCTATTCTAAATTTTTTAAATAAACTGAACAAAAAACGTTAAGGATCATGATTGATTTTGAAATTGTGTGCTCAGTTCTCATGACAAGAAATATCCAAAGAAATATTCATAGCTACTATTTTTGTTCATTATATGTTAATCAATTTGGTATTTGATAGGGACATTAACAACAGACTTTGCCATGTCAATTTGAAAATGTATGTTTCCACGTTTGTGAAGGATGATAGGTAGTGTGTTTACTCGTTAATGTAGAGTCTGAAGTTTAAAATGGGGAAATGTCCGTGGTCTCATGGCCTTGGGATGACGACTGTGCTGACAAGTCTGTATATAGTGACATTTAGGAGAAACGGAAACACCATTGCCGTCACTGACATGGTTGTACTGGAAGAGATGTCATCAACACCTTCTCAGTGATGTTAGGGACTGTCTGTGCTTGTATGTCGAGATTCTTGTTCTGACACAGGATTCACAAGGCTTAATTTATGGAACTGTTGGAGCCACTATAGGCAATTTTCGCCCCTATGTTTATTAGAGGTTTCAAGGTCTAATGACAGAGTTGGGGGTGGTCTACCCAGCTCTTACACAACTAACCCTGAGGATCTAAGAGGAACCCACGATCTGTGAAGCAATACAAAATAATTTTCTTAAGATATCTAGTTTCATCAGAATATGTTATTGGGAGGTGAACAGATTCCCTGAAAGCACCTAACTGGGACCATAAGAAAATAACTTCTGGGTTAAAAGTTGAAAAATATTATTTGTCTATATCTTTAACATGAATAATGCTGAGACATGCCAGAAACTGAACCCCAAAGAGGTGAGATAAGAGTATTGTTTGGGGTTATGAAATGACAAAAGAATCAGACTTTGTCTGATGATAAATTAAGGCAATTATTCTTATGGTCATTGCTGGATAAAGATATATTCATTTAGAAACCTTATCTTTGCAGAATAGTGTCTTTATAAGGCTTTATTAATCTATTATCTTGAACCATGTTGCACCTTTTTGAAAAAGTGGGATCATTTATGTAAAATAAAAAGATTTATTGAAACTGTTGTTTGTCATTCGCTGACTTCTTTGAGATGCATTTAGACTGACTGACTGAGTTTGGTTTTATGCTGCTTTTAGCAATATTCCAGCAACATCATGGCGGGGGGACACCAGAAATGGGCTTCACACATTGTACCCATGTGGGGATTCGAACCCGGGTCTTCGGCGTGACGAGCCAACGCTTTAACCACTAGGCTACCCCACCGACCAGATGCATTTTGGAGTTGGAACAGTAAGGAACGTTAACAACATATGGTGGTTGAACAACAACCTGCACCAAAATGTCACTCTCACTGCAATACAGAAGTTGTTCATCTATATATTGTTATCCTTCCTTGTAACGTATTGGGTTGAGGTGTTGCTGCAGCTGAAGCTTGGGGTATCAGTTGTACAAAAGGGTCCAGAATGTCAGTGGGTGAATCACACCTTGTGTTTGCTAGCTTACAGTGGTGTGGGTGGGTGGGGTGGGGTGCAATGGGGGGTGGGGAAGGTGTCTCACAATGTGAGAATCAGTTAAAAATCGAGACTTACTTCGAGGGTTATGGAACGTGCTTGAATGAAGGGAAATGATATGGCAGCGTGACTGTAAGACAGACTAGGCAACACCAGTAAAGATTAGTAAACACCCTTGCTTGACATTTTGATGTTCCATAGTTTAATTTATTGGATTATACAAGTCCAAACAATGATGAACATGCACATGGCATTAATGTGAAAGTATGTTTTCATCAGGAATTGCCCAAGTTTCTTGTGTTTTATCTTCCTGTCGGATGTCACAACAACCCGGTGATATAACTCAAACATTGACCAGGAGGAAATGAATAAGATAAGTAGTTAGCAGGTGTGTATACATATTCAGGAGCTTCTGCTGCAGTCTGTTTCAGCCCTCGTTTGTAGGCGTTTGTATTGTCATCGTTTATGTCAAACATGAGTTTATTTGGTATGATGAAGCATGAAGACAGACAATTTGAAAGTCTTATGTTCCAGCCACGAAAGGAACCTTCAAATAGGAAATCAAAATATGTGTTGGAAATACATGTGTACATGAATACAAATTTAACCACAGTAATTAGTGATTGGAATTAGTTTCGTGACGTCAGTGGTTTTGGCATGGGAACGTGCATCACGATTGTGCATGTGCATCTTGACAAACTGCGAGTAGCACATGGATGTTAAAACGTGCTCTTGATTTGGGGAGATTCATTTTGTAACGTTTGATCTTTCAAAACATTAAAGGGCTAATGAACCGCACACCACGCCACGTTTCATGCCAGTTTCTCAAAGTCATATCCATTGCCACCAAAACACCATTTCAACACTGCTGAGACATTATGAAAACAATAATCTCCCAGGACGTCCATGCCAACAACCCCGAGAACCCAAGAAGTGCATATCTGTACTGAGGGCCAATGGCTTGACACAACATGTACTCCAGTCGACTCACAAAAGTGGTCATATCATTGACTGGATAATTACTAGAGACTTTGACACTATTTTGATGTCTGATCATTGTTGGATTACCTACTCACTGCTTGATTCAATCTCAACCACAACATCAAACTGTATTGTGTCGAAATATCAAGGGCATTTGTCTGGACACTTTCAAGAAGGATCTGGAAAGCGAGCTACTGACAAACCCTCCCGCTGATCTACAGATGTTAACTGACCTCTACAACTGACCTCTACACTGTCTGATCTCCTGGAGAAACATGCACCTGCTGTTTCCAACACAGTACGTTGTAGGCCAAGCAATCCTTGGTATTGTGACGAAATTCAAACTGTTAAACAATCTCGACGATTTGCGGAACGAAGACGGCGCAAATCAAGGCTTCATGTTCATAGAGAACTCTACAAGCAGGAGCGCGACAATACTGAAATTATTCGTTCTGCTAAGAAAAAGTTTAACAATGAAACTATCTTGTCTAATCTAAACAACCCCAAGTCCACCACCTGTGAACTGGACCCAATTCCTACTGATCTGCTGCTCCTTGTAGTGGTCATTCTTCCTACCATAACCGGGATTATCAACACCAGTCTGGCAAGCGGATCAGTACCACAGTCTTTTAAGAAAGCATCTGTCTAACCACTTCTTAAAAAATCCAATATGGACAAAAACATAATGAAACACTACCGATTTGTTTCTAATCTGTCTTTTTTGTCAAAGATACTCGAAAAGGCAGTGAACAAGCTTTTGCATCACTTAGAAGATCACAATCTCATGGCCAATTTCGAGTCCGCATATAGGAAAGCCCATATCACTGAGACTGCTCTCCTGAGAGTACTAAATGACCTCCCACAGGTTGTGGATGCTGGACAAGTTGCTGTGTTAGTTCTCCTGGACCTCTCGTCAGCTTTCGATACGGTTGACCATGGTAAGCTGATGCAAAGGCTGAAGATTGACTACGGAATCAGTGTTAAGGTTTTGTCATGGTTTCTTTCATATGTATCAAGGCGACAACACACGGTTATGATAAAGAACTCGCAGTCATCTGCAGTCTCTGTGGACTACGGTGTCCCTCAAGGTTCTGTTTTGGGATCTCTGTTGTTTACCATGTACACCAAGCAGTTGGAGGAGGTAATCCAGAGCCACAATGTCCTACATCATCTATATGCAGATGACACTCAGATGACCGATAGCTTCAAGTTGAACACCATCTCTCCACTGACGAACATGGAGAATTGCTGTGTATCTGTCAAGGCTTGGATGAACACCAATCTCCTCAAGACAGAGGTGATGTTAGTCTGCCCAGCCTCCCGCCTGTCGAATATCAGTAATGTTTCTCTTTACATCGGTGACACCCATTCCCCTCTCATCAACAGTCAAAGATCTTGGTGCCTACTTTGAATGTGATCTATCGATGGAGATGCATGACTCCGAGCTATGTAAATCTTGTTACTACCACATCCGAACCATTGGCAGTATCCGCCATCTTCTGACTGAGGATTCCACAACAGTACTTGTTCGATCTCTCATATTTTCCCTGGTCCCTGCCTGGCGCTCGGCATTAATGGGTACAACAAGGACTGGTCGGCTCGGAGTCAGTATAATGTGTCTGAGTGGGGTATTCATGCTTCACCTCGGCATGGTATCTCAGTGGGCTAGCACTATAAAACCAGCTTAAGTGTGGGCTAGTACAAGCAGCCGCACATACACATACACACGCATGCACGTCATCATATGAGCGAAATATTCTCAAGTACGAAGTTAAACCCAATTTCACCTCACCTCACCTCATAGTTTCCCACATTGATTACTGCAACAGCCCTCTGCTCCATATCTCACAGGAACTCATTAATCGACTCCAGAGTATTCAGAATACTGCAGCACGCATTGTCACCAAAACCCCTAAATTTGAAACCCATGAAGGTCCGGGTTAGAATGAACCTTCAGTAACCCATGCGTGTCGTAAGATGCGACTAAAGGGATCGGGTGGTCAGGCTCGCTGGCTTGGTTTACACATGTCATCGGTTCCCAAGGGTGCAGATCGATGCTCATGCTGTTGATCACTGTATTGTCTGCTCCAGACTCGATTATTTACAGACCGCCGCCATATAGCTGGCATATTGCTGAGTGCGGCGTAAAACTAAACTCACTCACTCACCTGTTTATGACATTATCACTCGCCCCACAAAAGGACAAAACGTCAATATCATGCACTTTAAACTGCTGTTCTGCCGTCATTTTATTATCTCAATATCAACCTTTTAAAGGAATCGTTTCGTTGTTATAGTTTCAAATGTAAAATGAGTCACTGAGAGGGTGAGTTTAGTTTTACGCCGCATTTAGCAATATTACAGCAAAATCTGGGGACACCAGAAATATGCTTCACACATTCCACCCATGCAGGGAATCGCTTTAATCAGGGTCGAACGCCTAAACCGCTCGGCTACCCCATTGCTCCTTCAAATGTCAACAGAATTTAATAATGTGGCTAGTATATATTTCAGCATCCCACTGTTATGATTTGGTAATATGTTCACGTTAAGAAACGTTGGTAA